TTTCCTCTTGAGTAGGAATCTTCAACCTGATGACCAAGGACTCCCAGAGCAGGAGTCCCTAAAAGCACATCATTCATTCATTCGACAAATTATTAAGCAACTACTAGGTGCCAGGAATTTCTTCTAGGTCCTAGGAAGATCAGTGAAGAAATACGAAAACTTCTCTGCCTGCACACATTGTTACCAATCATGGGCACAGCAAACTAACTCACAGTGGGAATTTGAAGCAAAGTTAAGTGTTTATTTGCAGGGGTGAAAGTGAAAGTTGCTCAGTCGTGTTCGACACTTTGCGACCCCATGGACTATACAGTCAATGGAATTCTCCAGGCCAGAATACAGGAGCGGGTAGCCTATCCCTTCTCCAGCGGATCTTCCCAACCCAGGAATCGAACCGAGGTCTCCTGCATTGCAGGTGGATTCTTTACCAACTGAGCTATCAGGGAACTCAATGGTAAAGAATCTGCCTGCCAATGCAGGAGACCCAGGTTCAATCCCTGGGTCAGGAAGATCCCCTGGAGAAGAGGATGACAACTCACTCCATTCTGTAGCCCACCAGCGTCGTCTGGTGGGCTACAGTCCATGGGGGCAGCAAAGAGTCAGACACGACTGAGCGACTAAGCACACATGCACACAGGCAAGGAGAACGGGCAGCTCCTGTTCGAAAGACTCAAACTCTCTGATGGTTTTCAGGGGAAGGTTTTTAGGGAAAGGGGTCCTAAGATGAGTACTCAAGTGTGGAGTTAACAGGGTGATGTTTCAGGAATGTCAATCATCAACCTTCTGGTGGTTCCAAGCAGTCTGGCTCTACATGCCAGAGGACAGCATGTCATCGCCAGCCTTCACCTGGAGGAGGGTGGGAGGTCTCATTTTCTGCTGAACAACTCAAAGATATGTGTCAGATGTTATCTATATCCCTTCTGAAGGAACTAGGAGTCCAGTGTCTCTTTTGTTCTCATCATTAACTGCTTAAGCCTGTTCTCCCTGGGGAAGGCCCAGGAGACTACAGCCTTTTTCCTACAAATGAGAAAAGGGAGGCATGGAGGGGCTTTTGTTCTGGGAAGCCCTCACAAGTTCCTGCTTGGTTTCAGTTCCCCCTTTTCTTGATGATCCCCAATCCTGAGGGGCACAGGGCCAGGATAGGAAAAGGAATAAAGTTTCCGATAGAAAGATTAATCACAAACTTGGGAAACTGGGTTATTGGGGAAACTCAGTTTCAATACGGCAACATGACAATAACTGTCCAGTACAGGCAGAGGTTATAACAGGTATTCATTGTACTATTACTGTTGAAAGTTTTCTGTGTTAAAAGTTGAAAGAGAGCTTCCCTGGTGACTTAGTGGTAAAGAATCCACCTGCCAATGCAGGAGACACGGGTTCAGTGCCTGGTGCTGGAAGATCCCACATGACACACAGCAGCTGAGCCTGTGTGCCACAACTATAGAGCCCAGGAACTGCAGCTACTGAGCTATGTGCTGCAGCTACTGAAGTCTACACACCCTGGAGCCCGTGCTCCGCAACAAGAGAAGTCACCACAACAAGACGCCTGAGCACCACATCTAGAGGGTAATCCATGATCGCTGCAACTAGAGAAAGACTGTGCAGCAATAAAGAGCCAGCACAAGCAATATATATATATTAAAAATTGAAAGAAAAAAATTTGCCTTCAAGGAGACAGATAATAAATAAAGTGTGTTTGCATGTGTGTGTGTGTATGTGTGTTCTTGCGTGTGGCTAACGAGAACATGAAACAGGATGAGAGTGGGAAAGAGGAAAACAAGTCAGAAAGTATATATGGAGATTCCAGTTTTAAATAGGGTGGTCCAGGGACTTCCCTGATGGACCAGTTGTTAAGAATGCACCTTCCTAAAAAAAAAAAAAAGAATCCACCTTCCAGTGAAGGGGACTCAGGTTCGGCTCCGGGAGGAACTAAGATCCTACTTGCCCGTAGGGCAGTTAAGTTCGAGAGCCACAACGAAGACCCAGCACAGCCAAAATGTAAGAGTCAGACACAACTTGGCGACTGAACAACAACAATAATATATAGATAGATAAATACAGCATGATCCAGAAGTTCCACACTGAGATGATGTTTGAATCAAACCTTGGAGAGCAGGGAGTGAGCCAGACTACTTTCTGAAGGAAGATATGGCCTGCCTGGTAGAGGAGACAGAAGAGGCAACGGCCCTGAGGCAAGAACATGCCTAGCATTTTCCAGGAACAGTAAGAAAGTAAGTGTGAGGTTGGAGCAGAGTGGGCTTGGGCATCAGAGGAGGGGACAAGTTCAGAGAGGAGGGAGGGAGGCAGGCAGGTGACACCAGGCGTTGAAGCCACTATAGTCACTATGGCTTTTATGCTGAGTGACCAGGGGAGCCACCACAAGGAAGTGAGCAAGGAATAACTTGGGCCGACTTGTGTTTATCTAAACCGGATGCATCTTGCAGGGTGAAGGGGCTATTTATAGCTTCCTTCAGCTTCTCAGAGGAGTCGAGTAGACCACCATAAAACAAAGAGCAGGTGTAATGTTGATCTGTCCTTCAAATCTGTCCCTTTATTTTTTCAATTAGGCAAAAAAGCTTGTGATCCCTTTCTGCCAGGTTCGGGCTTGGTATTTGCCATGGGGAACCCGGGGCAGAAGGAAAGGCGAACCTCCCGGGCACACCGTGCCCAAGCTCCAGGATATGAGGTCTCCGGGGCTCACCCACCTGCCTTTGGTACCAGGCTGGTGCACGAGCCTGCACTCGACCTCCACTGGCCCAAAGACGTCCTTCCTCGTCGCGGGAGGATCTGCAGCCTTCCCCATTCGCGGCCCAGTGAGTTCACAGTCTCCGCAGGAAGGGGCGGGCCCTGCCGGCTGGCTTTGCAGAGGCCCCGCGTTGCTATAGCGACCCTGGCCGGGCTCTGGACGCCAGAGCACTAGTCTCAGGCAGCGATAGAAGCTGGAGGCTGAGGGCGGCGACCCCATTGCTGTTTGCCTGGGACTCCAGATCCAGACTCCGCCCCGAAGGAGAGCGCAGGTGAGCGGTCGCAGGTGTGACGGGGAGGGGGCGAGCACCTAACCTTCAGCCGTCTGAGCCCCTCTCGTTCCACCTTCCCTGGTGGTAATTATTGTTATTCAGTATCAAAACAACCCGAGCAGAGTCCGCATACTGCGCTGTAAAACTTTTTTCCTTTTTTCATTTTTTTCCTGGCCACGCTGCACGGCTTGCGGAATCTGACCAGGGAGCCCACCCGTGCCCCAGCAGTCAAAGCGCCTAGTCCTAACCATTGGACCACCAGGGAATTCCCCAAAGCTTTCTTTTCCTATCAGAAGGTCTATGTATCAAGACCACGGCCTTCTCTAGGGTAGAATTTAAGTTCTTGAAAGTTAGGACAGAGGATGTGTTACACTGATGAAGGGTAACCACCCAATGATGTCGTAAGAAAGTTATTAGATTTTGGATTCTCTTAAAATTCTGAGTAAGCCAAGGAGAAAGTGTCATCTTGAGGCTAATGTGGCATTAATACCTTAACATTTGCCAATCTCAACTGTAAGCCCCAGTATCTAGCTAAGGCTTAAGAAATGATCATAAAATCTCTTTCTTGGATAAATGTATTGAATTTTAAAGTGAATTAATTTCAATATAAAGACTAATCATGGACCACCCTGATGGTCCAGTGGTTAAGACTCCAAGCTTCTAATACAAAGAGCGTGGGTTCGATCCCTGGTCAGGGAATTAAGATCCCACATGCTGCACAGCATGGCTAAAAAAAAAAAAAAAGATTAATCACAGTACTCATGGTACACGCAAATGGGAGGGGGAAAAAAGAAAAACATTAAATTTAGGACCTGAGACTGTTTACCTCTGCCCAGTTCATGCCCTGGATGTCTTCCTTGCTTTGAGTGCCTTTCCCAATTCCTGGGAATGATTGCCAAACTACGTACTAGCCAGTGCAGTTGGCCAGCCTAGTCAGACTCCTGGAGGTCCCTGCTGTGTCCCTACAGGGAACTCCCTGATGGACAGGGCCCAGTGCAGAATGAAAATGAGGCCCTGGCTCATGAAGTATTAGGAATTTTTAAAAAGTGACAGCGGAGCCAAGACCAAGCACATACCTTTCTACGGACCAGGCCCTGTGCAGCTATTCAGGTTGGACATCTGTGATGCTGGCCCTGAATGGGTGGATGCCTGGAACACCATGATTTCCTGAAACCTGCTCAGTCTTGAGGTCATACTCATTGGTCAATAACTCTGCCTGCTGATGGTTAAATAGTTCTCTGCACTGGGCAGGGAGGGTAGGAGAGCCCTGGTCTGATGGAAAAAAACCTAACCAGGCAGACAGGAAGAGTACCTAAGCAGAGGGCAGAGGTCAGAGGTAGCAGGGTGATCAATCGTCCTGGTGTGTCTGGGGCTGTCCCAGTTCTAGCTCTGAAAGTTCAGTGTCCTAGGAAGCCTCTCAATCCCAGGGAAAGCGGGACAGGTGGTCATTCTAGAGATAGTATCTTTAGTTGGCGGGCTCTGCTGACAGCTCACAAACACCTGCAAAGCCAGTCCCTGGGCTTTTCCACCAGAGGCAGGGCCTGGGGCCTAAAGTGCTAGATGCTGAACCAGTGGTGGTAATGGGATGTCCCTGGGGGCCGTGCCACAGGACTGTCTGCCTGCTCAGACAAGAGTGGCCTGGCTAGGTCCCAACTCCCCCGTAGTGGGTCCCAGTGCTCACCACTCCAGCATCCACTCTGATTGGTCATGAGTGGTGAATGAGTGTTAGTTGTTCACTTATGTTCTTTGCAACCCCATGGACTGTAGCTCATCAGGCTCCTCTGTCCATGGAATTCACCAGGCAAGAACACTGGAGTGTGTTGCCATTCCCTTCTCCAGAGGACCTTCCCAACCCAGGGATAGAACCTAGGTCTCCCACATCACAGGCACATTCTTTACCGTCTGAGCCACCAGGGAAGCCCCTGACTGGTCATACCGGTTATTAATGTGACTTTCACCTTCTGCCCAGGGCAACTTCTTCCTGCTGTCATCACAAACCCTCTGATCTACTGGTTTCCCTGGGTTCCATCCCAAGCAATTGTGCCATCAGGTTCCCCACCCCAGGGGGCCCCTAGGGAGGCAAGGGAGGAGACATCTGAGCATCAGTCCAGCACAAAAGAATCCCCCGAAAGGGCTGCTCATCTGCCCCGGGCACTCAGAACACACATGACTCACCCCACCTGACCTCAGACAAGTGTCTCTCCAGGAAATCCCAGGATCCCAGCATTCCTTGGAGCAAACTGAACCCCTGATGTCCCTAACCCTTTGCTAGCACCCTCTGGCCCCACAGAAGCAGCCAACATGCCTATCTTCAAGTGCCCGCAAAAGTCGGAGCCCCTGTGGAAGGAGTGGGACAAGAAGGCCCAGAAGAACGGACTGAGGCACCAGGTGTTCGCTGTCAATGGCGACCACTACGTGGGCGAGTGGAAGGACAACATGAAACACGGTAAGTGGGGGGCCCTTGGGGGCTCAGGCAGTGAGTATGGGGTCTGGGTCACGGTGGACCACTGGGGCCAAGGGAGCAGCTTGCAGAGCTCACTGGGGACATAAGATATATCACCGAGGGGTGAATGCTGACTAGGACCAGCCAGGGGCATCCTCATGCTGGGACTCTGAAATCCAACTCAACCCTGGCTTCAGATGAGCAGAGGGGCCAGCAGGAAACGAAGCTGTCTTTAGACACCAGCCACAGCCTCAGCTGGGACTCCCAGGACAGCAGCTCATTCTCTACCCTCTGAGACCTTCACTAAGCATGGAACTGGCTAGCAGGAGGAAAAGGTGGCCTCCAGAAACCACCTTGCCTTCAAGCTCAGTCCTTCAAACCAGCAGGGGGCGAAGTAGGACATCTCCCACCACATCTCCATCCTGCAGTGGCTGGGGCTCCCAGGGTGGAGTATGGACTCCTTGTGATACCAAAGTGATCCCTGAAGAAAGAAAAACAAAGTTCTTATTCAAAAAAGGTGTTATGGCTTCTCTGTCTAGTCTTGCAATTCCAGATTCTTAGCTCTTGGCCACTCTTCTCTCCTGCCTTCCTGCGTTAAGTGCTTGAGTCCATAAACCTGGGTCAATTTCAGCTCCATCAGCTGTGACCTTGAGAGAGCTACACCACTCTGAGCCTCAGTCTCCCCATCTGTAAAATGGGAATAATACCTATCTGTTAAGATAAGAGTTACCATCTATCAAATATGTAGCCAAGGATCTGTGCAGAAGGGGAACTTCTTGAATGTTCTCTGAGGGCTGAGCACGGCACAGGACATTATTCAGACTTTCCTTGTCCAAGAAGCCCCCCGCGCATAACACAAAACCCACCCTCAGCACTGACTTAAAGGCAAAGTTTTACGCAGCTGCCTGGAGCTCTTTGTGTGGTTAAGGATGACTGCCTGTGTGTTTCAGTCTTTGTGGGCAGCCTGTGGTGTGGACAGATCCCTGGACTAAGAGTCAGGACCCTGAAGTTCTGAGCCTGGCTCTATTACTGAGAGGCTGTGTGACTTTGGCTAAGTCATTTCCCATTGTCTGAACTTGGCTGCCCTACCTGTGATATGACCTTGTGGGCTGGTATAAACAACTCTTCATCCCCTACAGTGTGACTGGACCCTGCCTCAAGGGCAAACATCAATGATAGCATCTTTTCTATTTTCAGGCATTGTCCTAAGTATTATACATATATTAATGAATTTAGTGACCAGAACAACCCCATGAGATCTCCTTGTCCCCATTTTACAGATGAGGAACCTGAGGCCCAGAGAGTTAAGTTACTTGTACTAGATCAAAGAGCTCACAGAGACGATGCTGGGTTTGTTCCTGAGCTACCAAGGACTGAGACATAAGTTGGCACGCATAGGTACTCCACACATATTGTATTCATCCCTTTGTTTAACAAATATTGGTCACCTCCAACATGTCAGGCACTGTTCTTCTGTGCTGGAAATAGAGCAGTGAACAGAACAGACCAGTCTGTGCCCTTGTGAAGTGTACATTCTCCTGGAAGACACAGACAGTAGACAATACATGATAAATAAGTGAATTATCTATTATGTTAGGAGTTAACAAGTGATGTGGAAAGAAATAGAACAGGGTAAGGGGTTAAAAGAAGCTTATATTAATTTTTTTCAATATTTATTTATTTGGCTGGGCTGGGTCTTAGCTGCAGCATGCAGGATCTTCAATCATTGTTACAGTATATGTGGGATCTAGGTCCCTGACCAGGGATGGAACCTGGGTCCCCAGCAATGGGAGCGAAGAGTCTTAGCCATTGGACCAGCAGGGAAGTCCAGAAGCTTATATTAAATAATTTTAAGTGAGATGGTCAATGAGAAAATGATATTTGAGTAAAGACTTGCAGGAGGTAGGGGGTGAGTGAATATATTTGGGGAAGAGTTTTCCAGGCCAGAGGAGAAGCAGGTACAAAAGCCTTGAGGCAGAAGCATACCTGCTGGGTTCCAGGAATGACCGGGCCACCAGGAATTGGAGGGCAGAATGGAAAATGGGAGTGGAGGACACAGAAGGGGTTGGAGTATAATAGTAGGAGGTGGGTCTCCATGTATAATCAGAACTGAAGAAATATGCAGAACATTCTCCAGAAATCCTGACCATCTGGTGTATACACTCAGTATTACTAAAAGATGGAGCTGAAACACCAAAGGGGAAAATTTCTGCTTGGTGTTTGCTATATGGGTTTGGTGTCAGGGCAAAGCACTGTAGAAACAGACCTCTCTTGGAGTTTCTCCAGGTGCTAGGGAGAGGGTAGTCTACATACGAGGCAGATGCCCCTCTCAGTCCTTAAGAACTGTCCAGTCCAGGTGCCCAAGGCCCAGGCAAACAGAGCACCTGTCTCCCCGCACTGGCCCCATGCAGGCCATGTTTGCAGTGTTGGCCCATCTTTGTGTCACCAGGGAAAGGAACACAGGTCTGGAAGAAGAACGGAGCCATCTATGAGGGGGACTGGAAGTCTGGGAAGCGAGATGGCTATGGCACCCTCAGCCTTCCTGACCAAGAGACCGGAAAGTACAAGAGAGTCTACTCAGGCTGGTGGAAAGGCGATAAGAAATGTGTGAGTGGTTCCCATCATGCTCTGGGGTGTGGGCCAGGCTGAAAGAAGCCTCTGTGTGTGTGTGTGTGTGTGTGTAGGGGGAGCAGTCAGAGAGGCCTGGGAAAAAAGGGAGGGGGATCTAGGGGAAGAGAACAGGGTTCTGCGTGGGTGGGAGAAGGAAGGGGTGGGGGAACCATCAAGACTTCTCAGAACAAAACCCAGAAACAGGAAACAGGAGGAGAGGGCCCAGGGAGGAGCCCCTGAAACCCTGTGGCTACAAGAAGCCAGCCAGCCTGTGAGGGGCAAAGTCTCCTCCCCCACCTCCTCAACTCATTTCCTGGCTTTCTTTTCCCCTGGCATCCCTTTCTGAGAATACTCCTTCTGCTGGGACTGGATAAGAGGTGGGGGGTGGGGTGGGGGCGCGAAATGAGAGCAAGAAAGAAAGCAGAAGCTACACCCTTTGCCAAGAGAAGAAGGTCCTGAGGGCTAGAAGGCAACCAGAGGCATGCCCCCAACCCATAAACACCTGACTCCTCACCACAGGTCATGGGGACAGATATCATACAGTACTGCTATTGAACAACTGCTATTATGATCCTGGAATATGATATATTGTAGAACTCCACATCAACATCATCATCATCATCATTATTTTCCTCTTACTGATGAGGAAACATGCTCAGAAAGGTGCAGCAGGTGAAGTGCCTCGCCTGGGGTCACACTGCTGGCAAGCTGTAGACCCGAGGATTTCATGATCTCTGCTCTCAAAATGTTTCTGGGCCAGTGGGGGACAAAGATCCCCAAATAAATAATTTATATTGTATAATACAGTGCTAGGATTGAGGTTTTCACAGAAAGTCCAATGGAAGTCCACTGAGAATTCAGGGCAGGCTTCCTGTAGAAGGTGACACCATAAGATGCAAGGTGTTAGGGAGTAAAAAAGAAGGGGAAGTAGCAAAGGCTGCAGAAGTTGTTAAAGGAAGGAAATATTAAACAGCAAGGTGTGTCTACCCACAGGGGTGGCAGAGAGAGGAGGGGTAGGAGGGGGCCTTGAAGGTTATGTGGGGGATTAAGAATTTTTGAGTAGACTTGGGCTGCATAAGCCAGCCCTTTCAGGTGTGATCTGTGGGGACCCCATGGTGACTCTGCCGTCGCATGATAAGCGCTCATGTTCATTTTTCTGGGGAGAAAGTCCATAGCTTTGATCTCATTGCCAGGCATCTGCGACTTTTAATAGAGTCAAATCAGAGTTGGGAAGACAGAACAAACGTGATCAGACAGGCCATGTAAAAGGTCCTCCCAACAGTCATATGGCAGATGCATGGGATGAGGGGGAGAACGGGAGAGTGGAGGAGGAAGATCAGTGAGAAGGGGCGAAATGATGGTGGGCTGAAGGAAGGCGGTAGCATAAGGGTAGCGGGAAATGGAAGGCCTGGGAGATTTTACAAAACAGAAGACCGTCAGCTTGGATGTAGGTCTTGGGGAGGAAGCAAGGAAGAAGTCCAGGTGTTTGGGTACCAGGGAGTTTGGTGAGAGTTCCCAGTACTGTGGGGCGCCGTGAACAAGGACACCTTCGTGCTTTCAGGGCTATGGGATCCAGTTTTTCGGACCCAAGGAGTATTATGAGGGTGACTGGTGTGGCAACCAGCGCAGCGGGTGGGGCCGCATGTACTACAGCAACGGAGACATCTACGAGGGCCAGTGGCGTAACGACAAGCCAGAAGGGGAAGGCATGTTGCGCCTGAGTGAGTGTCCAGCCCCTTCCCAATGGCCTGCTGGCCACGCCCACTCGGCCACCCCCTCAAGGTCCACTCCTCCGGACCCTGCAAGGCCGGGCCCTGGCCACGCCCATCGGGCCACGCCCCCGCATAGCCCTGCTCGGGCTGGCGGGTTAAGGTGAGTGACAGGAGACAAGACCGGGTCCCTGCCCTCGGGGAGTTTATACTCTAAAAGGGGTGCCTAGAGTTGGACACGATTGACGTGACTAAGCAGCAGCAGCAATAAATATAAACAAGTAAGACTTTGTCTTTTGGTCCATAGTAATCATAGCCCACACTTAGGCAGCCCTGAGCTTATTATATCCACACTACAATTCTGTACCGGGAGCTGACTGTGGCTTAGATCATGAACTCCTTAATGCAAAATTCAGACTTAAATTGAAGAAAGTAGGGAAAACAAATAGACCATTCAGGTATGACCTAAATCAAATACCTTACAGTTATACAGTGAAAGTGACAAATAGTTTCAAGGAATTAGATTTGAAAGACAGAGTGCCTGAACAACTATGGATGGTGGTTGGTAACATTGTACAAGAGGTGGTGATCAAAACCTTCCCCAAGAAAAAGAAATGCAAAAAGGCAAAATGGTTGTCTGATGAGGCCTTACAAGTTAGCTGAGAAAAGAAGAGAAGCAAAAGGCAAAGGAGAAAAGGAAATATATACCCATCTGAATGCAGAGTTTCAAAGAATAGCAAGGAGAGATAAGAAAGCCTTCCTAAGTGAACAGTGCAAAGAAATAGAGGAAAACAATAGAATGGGAAAGACTAGAGATCTCTTCAAGAAAATTAGAGATACCAAGGGAACATTTCATGCAAAGATGGGCACAATAAAGGACAGAAATGGTATGCACCTAAGAGAAGCAGAAGAGATTAAGAAGAGGTGGCAAGAATACACAGAAGAACTATACAAAAAAGAGCTTAATGATCCAAATAACCACGATGGTATTATCACTCACCTAGAGTCCATAAATTTAGCATCATTGTCCCTTCAGACTGTGACCTGCAGAAGGACTGGGACTGTGTCTGTTTTGTTCCCTACTGTTTCCCCCAGTGCCTGCTGTGTAGTAGATACTCTTGGTGAGGACACAAACCAGAACCTAGGCTCCTGAAAACTGGGGAGGGTCAAGGCAGCCACTCTGTCATTCTTAATCCTCCTTACACCCTGCTTCCATTCCTGATTTTAGTGCGTATCTCCTACTAACAGCCTGCATTTAGTGAGTGCCTGCTGTGGCCCACACAGGGAAGGAGTTTTAAGTGCAGGCTTTCTAAGGCTTGGAGTCTGGAACCAGCTCTTACTAGTTGTGGGCCCTTGGGCAATTAACCTCCTTAAACTCTGTATGCATTGGTTTTCTCAACTGTAAAGTAAGGGAAAAATAAAGCTTACCTAAAGTTATTGTGAAGATTAAGGGAGGTTTATATTTGTAAAATGCTTAGCATGACACAGAATAAATAGTAAGCCCTCAGTATCAGTACATACTTGTATAGCAGAGCTCAGCAAACTATGGGCCAAATCCAGCCCTGAACATGTTTTTGTAAATAAAGTTTTGTTGGCACACAGATGTGCTCGTTCACTTATGTATTGTTCAATGGCAGAGGTGACCATCTGTGGCAGAGACCCGGAGTGCTGAAAATCCTATCTGCCACTTTGCAGAAAAGGTTTGTTGATCTCTGATCTGGAGTTTATCCAGTACTTTTCTAAGCCCTTTTTGTGTACAGATTCATTTAATCTTTACAATAATTTAATGAGGGAGGTGCTACTCTGGTCCTCATTTTACAAATGAGGAAATGAGACAAAATGGCTGCATGACTTGCTCAGGGTCACACAGCTCATAAGTGTCTGAGCTGAGACATGTTAGATTTATCATTATTATTTTTACAGCATCACCACCATCCAATGGGAAGTGGAATTGATTCCCAGTTAAGAGCAGGGGCTCCTGGGATGAACAGGATTTGGTTTGAAACCCTTCCTCGTTCTGTGACCTTGAGCAAATCAATCAAATCTCTGGAGCTTTTCAAGTTTCATGTATAAAATGGAGTCCTTTATCCTTCACAGAACTGTTTTTGTGAAAAGTGAGGTCAGAAGCAGCATGGAATCTGGCACAGAGTAAGTGCTGGAAAAGCACTGCCTGTTAGTATCATTAGCTGTATTTTTTACAGGCAGGAAACGATGTCGCTTATCTAAGTTCAAGTAGGTAGTTGAGGTGAGGTGATATGTGAATCAGGTCTGAAACCACTGACACCCCGGGGGTCTATGGCTTTCTGGTGGGCGTGATGTCTAGCCTGGGAGTGGCAGAAGGTCCAGCCCGGTGGGTGGGGGAATGTGGTGGGCCAGCACCCATGACCCCCTGTCTTTTCCCCTCAGAGAATGGGAACCGCTATGAAGGCAATTGGCAGAGAGGTGTGAAGAATGGGTCAGGGCGTTTCTTCCACCTGGACCATGGTCAGCTGTTTGAAGGCTTCTGGGTGGATGACGTGGCCAAGTGTGGCACAATGATTGACTTCGGCCGCGATGAGGCCCCCCAGCCCACCCAGTTCCCCATTCCTGAGGTGGGCAGCTCTCCCCAGGATCCTGGGACCACACCCAACCTACAGACAGGAAACAGCAGCCCCCCGCCAGCCACACCCAACTTAACTCAGCCCAGCCCAGTCAGGAAACAGACAAGGTTTTGTTTTCAGTCAGGGCATCCTCAGGGAGACTGGCAGTACCCCCCACAAAGCAGGCAGCACCCAAGGTTGGCGGTACCCCCACAGGCCGGGCAGCGTCCCAAAGGCTGACAGCCTGGGTCTTCTCCACACTCCTCAGACCAACCCCTGCTACTTCCCTCCAGGTCAAAATTCTAGATCCCGACGGTGTGTTGGAGGAAGCCTTGGCTATGTTCAAGAAGACAGAAGAAGAAGGAGATTGATGCCAGGTGAGAGGCGGGCATGCCAGCCACCCTCTGATGTGGTCTGGGCAGCTCCTGGGCTCTCCTCTGGCCAGGAGAGATCAGGGGCAGGGCCACACAGGACTTTACCTCAAGTCCTGCTGGTCGTTTTTGCTTCCTCTCCTTGGAATCTCTTTTCCCTGGGAGCTCTGTGGTGGTTCTGTGCGTAAATAAGAATCTGTGCTCCCAATGCAGGGGGCACAGGTTCAGTCCTTGGTTGGGGAGCTCAGATCCTGCATGCTGCCTGGTGTGGCCAAATGAACGCGCAAACACACAGCCTCTTTTCCCTATAGACGTCCTGCCCAGATCCTCCCACTGTGGGCTTATGGGATTGGACTCAGGAGCTCTGCTCACCCCAGAGTGCCCTTGAGTACCGATGTTTGCCCCGGTCCTCTACTTGCCCATCTGTCCTGTGGGGCCTTTTTCCGTGCAGTTCCTCCCGGTGGGTATAAGTGGGGTCGAGGAGAGAGCACTGGTACAGCATCTTTGAAACGCCAGCTCCCACCACTCCTCACCCCTGCAGAGAGATCACCAGCACTTCAGGAGGAATTCAAACCGGAGTCACCCAACTGCTCGGACTGGTGTGGCTCCCGTTGGAGGAGCAAGTGGGGACACACCCTTGGCACCCTCAGAAGGCACCTTACTCCTCCCAGCACTGGCTCATTCCTTCCCGGAAGGAGGCCAGTGCTTCTCTTCCCTGATGGCCTTGGGGACCCTCTTGTTACCGCCTTTTTTTCTTGGACCTCATCTCTGAGTGCACCAGAATAAAGGAGGACCCTGTTGGCAAGAGCCGGGTGCCTACAGTGGGTGGAGGTGGGGGGGTGGTGTGCAGGGTCCCTTGGGAAGGATTTCAGGTGGAGAAGTGAAATGTCCCCACGGGCCACATGGATTTCCCTTGGGGCAAAGTGGGGTGGTGCTTCCAGGTCTCTGATCTCTGATGAGATAACTGATCTCTGTCTCATTCCAGAAATGAGACAAAGCCTGCATCAGGCTCCACTCGTCATTAAGATTCGTCATTGAAACATGACCTGGCTTCTCACCCTAACACAGGAGCTCCCAACCTTGGAATCCCGTGGGAGATGTAAAAGCTAAGAATGCCCAGATTTCACACCCAGAGAGCCTCATCTGTCTAGGATGAGGCCTGGGCCTTCCAGAAGTTCCCCAGCTTGACTCTAGTGTGCAGCTGGGGCACAGAACTTCTGACTTACTGGCTTTGTGAACCTAAACAAGTGACCTCAGTTGCCCTGTCTGTAAAATGGGAACCTCAGAGATCTCACGGGGGTGGGGGTGGGGGTGGGGTGTTGTGAGGATCTGCTGGCAGATATAAAAACAACAGATAACATGAGGTTATTGAGGTGAGTTGTAAGCAGATATCCGGGAAAGGCTTTGCAAAATTTTGGACAACATTCCTGCAAGATAAGAGCACCTCTTACATAATGTTTAGGAATAGGAGTTCTGCAGTCAAACTGCTGCAGAATGTGAATCCCAGCACTGATTTCTTAGCTGTGTGTTCTTGTGTACGTCACCCACCCTCTCTGTTCTCCAGGTTTCCTCTCCTAGTATGGGACAATAATAGTACTTACCACCCAGAGTTACTGTGGTACTGGAAGAATGGAATAAGGTGTGGTTCTAATCTGAGGGTAATTCTGTCCCCCTTCCTTCCCAGGGGACATCTGGCCAAGTCTAGAGACACTTTCGGTTGTCACAGCTGGCAGGGAAGAGTCCTACTGGTACCCAGTGGGTAGAGGTTGGGAACCTGCTGAACATGTTATAATGTAAACATTCCACAGAAGAATCCAACCCAACTTCACTGGTATAAAACCATGAAAGAACGCTGAAATATCAGTGTTCATAAAGCCCTCGGCAAATGCCCACCACAAAATAAACGGCTCAGAAAAGTGTTCACTGACATTATGGAGATTCTGCCATCGGAACCCTAAGCAGGTGGCCTGATCCACAGCAGGGTTCTCAGTTGGTACCTCTGAGGCCAGGAAGCTGAGCCTGGTTGCCTCTGGACACACCACTAACCAGATACAGAGCCACTCACTGCCAGGCCCAGTGCTGACAGCTTTACATGAGTGCTCTCTCGTGATCCCTCAACGACCTATGAGATGTCCTGCTATTATTCATGTCATTTTAGAAGGAACTGAGGTTCAGGGAGGCCCACAAGTCATCAAATTAGAAACTGCCTGTGCTTAAACTTAGGCCTGTCTGCTCAGTTGAGAACAGGTGGTGGTGAGAACAGTAGCAATGTGTATAGACTTTTTTTTTTTTGTTTGTTTTGTTTTTTTTTTTAAGAAGAAGTAGGGTGTGTTCTTGTTTATGTATAAAATCTCTAAATGGGATCAAAATATACTGGCAACTGTGGTTATTTCTATGGAGAATTGGGAACCTGGAAACAGGGGAGCAATAGCAATTTTTCACTGCTGTATTTGGAACCTATGAACATATTATCTATTCAAAACATCAAGTTGATATTAAAGACTGTTCTTTTAACTGTCCATGTTTCCCTCACAAGTTGCCTGCATTTGAGTACCTGGAGTGCTAGTTACAGAGAGATTCCAGGGAATTCCCTGCAGGTCCAGGGGTTAGAAATTGGCATTTTCAAGGCAAAAAGATTCCAGAGACATACCCAGAACAACTTAAATTGGAATCTGCAATAGGGAAGATTCCAATAGATTGGAAATCCTCCTTTTACAAGCCAATCTGATGATTCCCGAGTTCAGCCAAGTTAAGAAAAGAAAACCAAACACTCAGAAAAGACTCTACCCGGACCACAGGTCTCTGCAGTAGCAGGGAGCTGGGAATCTCAGAGAAGGATGGAAGAAGATGCCCAGGTCTTCTCTGGGGAGCCAGTGATTTTTCACACAGGGGTACCTGCTCCACCCTACTCAGTCCCAGTCAGAGAGCCATCTGGGGACAGAAGAGGGGGTGGGTCTTGGTACATGTGATACAGGACAGAGGCTAGAAGCTGCAATAAGAAAAAGAAGGGCTCCCTTCCCCACTCAGCCCACCAAGCTGCTGTTGGCCATGTCTGTCTTTACAGAAGGACAAGAGCTTAAGGAAGGCCACGCATGTGCATGTGTGCTAAGTTGCTTCAGTCGTGTCCGACTCTTTGTGACCCCATGGACTGTAGCTGGCTGGGCTCCTCTGTCCATAGGATTCTCTGGGAAAGAATACTGGAGTGGACTGTCATGCCCTCCTCCAGGAGATCTTCCAGACCCAGAGATCAAACCCATGTCTCCTGCTTCTCTTGCAGATTCCCTACCAACTGAGTCACCTAGAAAGCCCAAGGAAGGCCATGCTTTCCCCCACGAACTCTCACTTCATTCGGTCAGAGCACTTTTGTTTTTGTAAAACCACTTTCTACGTCAGGGTTATGGGACAGAACAGGGTTAACTCAAAGGCCCTCTGGGCCAGACAAGTAACTTAGGAAGCTGGGCTGGTGTTATACAATAGGGAGTGGAGGGGGCTATGGCAAATTCATTTCCTGGGAAGAAGGAGCTGCAACTCAGCTCCTGTTCATTGTGGCTCTGCAAGAAGGTAGGCCAGTAATGCCACTGCTGGATCTTCCAGTTTCTTCAGCAATGCCAGGATCAGCTGATGTAAGATTTCTGGGAGTGTCTAGGCTCCAAGCCAGACTTACTTCCAGGTTTGAATTCTGCCCAATAATTACTTACCCTCTTTAGACAACAATTTCTTGTCATCTGCAAAATGGAGATAAAATTCCTGCCAAAATGCACAACCTGATCATAAAAATGAGGAAATACCAGAGAAACTAGATGGAGGTTGCATTCTACAAAGCCACTGGCTTAAACTCTTCAAAAATATTATTAAAGAGGACAAAGAAAGGCTGTTCCAAATTAAAGATGACTAAAGAGGGACTTTCTTGACGGTCCAGTGGTTGAGACTTCGCCTTCTACTGCAGGGGATGAAGGTTCAATACCTGGTTGGGGAGCTAGGATCCCACATGCCTCATGGCCGAAAAACCAAAACATAAAACAGAAGCAGTGTTGTAAAGGCAATCAAAGGGACATGACAACTTATTGCAACACATGATCCTGGATGGAAAAATCACTGCAAGAAAGGATATGGGTATAAGAGCAAAATTGAAAACGTTGTATCAGATAACAGTATCATATCAATGTCAAATTTCCTGAATTTGATCATTGAACTGTGCTTATGTAGAGGAATGTGCTTGAGTTTAGAAGGAAATCTGCAACTAATGTATATGGTTCAGAGGGAAACACATATTGGCATCCTCACTATTCAGTTTTGGTATCTGCAAATCTGTCTACTTGCTGAGGTCAAACAAGATGACCCTCTGCCTTAGTTTCAGCTCATGCTGTAAACATCTATCCTTTTCACAGCCTATTTAGCGACTGGGGATGAGGGGACGATGGGGCCCCCTGAGCCACCTTCCCCACAGGCCTTCCCAGTCGTCCCAGAGTCAGTAGTGGCGCATCGCCACAGTAGAAATGCGCCCAGTGGCGCCTGGTCGCCTGTCAGGGGGCTGCTGACACATCCCCCCTGCCACCACCCACCTCCACCTGGAGAGGAGGGAGAGGCGAGGGTTGGAGAGAGGGCAGGGTTTTGGGGTTTTAAAAGCCCTCATATTTTGGGGCTTTTAAAAGTTGGTGATTTCACTATTTAAAATGACCCCCAAGGGTAGCAACGAAGCACTGTCTATAGTGTTCGGAGCACAGGAAGATTGACATGCCTTATGGGGAACGTATGTGTGTGTTACAAATAAGTGACAGTGCTGTTGTGATAATGTATAAGTTCAATGTTATTAAGGTATCTTTAAAAAATATATTTTAAGTAAGGTGTCTTTAAAAAGAAACATGCAGTGAGTTCCCTGGTGGTCCAGTAGTGAGGACTTTGCCTTTCAATGCCCACAGCGGGTGCAGGTTCAATCCCTGGTAGGGGAGCTAAGATCCCACATGATGCCTGTCCAAAAAACCAAAACAGAAGCAGTACTATAACAAATTCAATAAAGACTTAAAAAAAAAAGCAGGTCCGTATCAAAAAAACAACAAAAAACATAACCAGATGCTCGCAGGAACCTAACCCCTTTCTCTTAGCAGTAGTTCAGCATTCAATTAATTCAGTGTTCTGTAACTATAAAACAGAACTGTGAATGATAAGAACTGCCTACATAGACATTTCAGTTACTGCTCATGCAACTTTTTTGGATAGGTTGGAAATACCACAAAATGTTGATTTTTTTTTTTTTTTTTTTTTTGCTTAGAGGTTCACCTGCCTGGGCCACCCACCGGAAGAAACGCCAGGCAGTTCAGACCCAACAAATACAGACACAAGCGGAGGTGTCCCTTATGAGTATATTTCTGTGTTCACACACGCGCACACACGCACACCACCGACGCTGAACGGGGAGGGAGGGTCAAGACGGAAAGAACAGGAGGCACCCAGGTGGTACCTGCTCGGGGGAGGAGGAGAGACAAAGGGAGCATTTGTCCCCGCTCTGGCTCCCGGTGGTGGCCTCTGAGCAGGAGGTGAACCTGGAGCTGGAAGAACAGGAAGTGCTTATTCTCTTAGAGGAAAGTTTCAAAGTGCAGTAACTTCTCTTTAAAAAAAAAAAAGCCTCTTTCCTCCACTCTCTGCCTGCCCCTGACGAAAGCCCAGCCCCCTGCACATGCTGTCCTTGAGGCTGGGGCACGACAAGGTCGTGGGGAAGGGCGTAAGGCCAAAGCTCTCAACTGCCCAGCCCAGGAAGGGCTTAGGCATAGTGGCTACCCGGGGTCAGGGGGTGGTCCCCTCTGTGGTCTAGCTGGTCCTGCAGGCGGGCAAACTCAGCCAGTTCGTTGAGTTCCTGGAACTGTCGGTCCGTCTTATGGCTGACCAGTGAGCGGTAGAAGTGGACGGCAAAGACGATAAAGATCAGGCCAAAGGGGACCATGATGGTGGTGGAGGCGATGGCGGCGGCCTGGCCCGGGGTGATGCTGCCGGTGCTGCTGACGTTGGCAGGCGCCCCGCCGACCGGGGGTTTGCTGGTGGGCCGCAGCTGGCCTGGCTGCTTTTTGAGGGGCAAGAACTTGACCCAGCAGAGCAGCACGACCTCAGCCAGGAAGAGCAGCGTGCCGATGACGGTGGAGAAGGCCCAGGCCAGCTCGATGTGGCGGTGCATGCGCTCGTGGGGCGACTCCTTGACCGAGTTGAGGTTGTGCACGTTGCTCACGGCCTCGATGTTGGGCAGGATGCAGGTGCTGATCATGAGAGCAAACAGGTGCACGGCCACCAGCACCGTGGTGCAGGCGCTGAAGGCGATTAGCAGCCCCGGAGGGTAGTCGTGGTCAGCGTCCAGTTGTACCTCCACCATTGCCACCTGGGGGGGAGGAGCGGGGAGAGGTGGGCTGAGTTACAAGGATGGTCACGGCTCAGAGGCTCTCCTCCCTTCAGGTTCTGGGACCCTGAGTAAGTCACTCCGAGGCCTCAGCTTCTGTTATCTGTATAATGGGGATGACAGACCCACCCACTTAGGGTTGAGAAATGGCAGAAAGTACTGGTAAAGAGGATAGGCTTGAGGCCAGGCTGCCTGGATTTGAATCCCAGTTCTGCTTCCCTTGAGCTGTTTATCTTTGGGAAAGTCACTGAACCTCTCTGAGCCTCAGCATTTTTATTTGTAAAATAGGGACATCATATCAGTTCATAGGCTCATTTTAACAACTGAATGAGAGTTCCTAGTACTGGACTTCCCTGGTGGCTCAGATGGCAAAGAATCTGCCTACAGCGCAGGAGACCTGGATTTGATCCCTGAGTTGGCACGATCCCCTGGAGGAGGAAATGGCAACCTACTCCAGTATCTTGCCTGGAGAATTTCATGGACAGAGAATCTGGCAGGCAACAGTCCAGAGAGTCCCAAAGAGATGGACACAACTGAGCAACTAACACTTTCAGTACATGACAAACACCCTCCAAATAGTAGTCACCACAAATGGTTAAAATGGTAAGCTGTATGTCAATTTTACTATGACTAAAAAAAAAGTTTACATTAATGAAAAAAGGCACCCTGCCTATTGGAGCCACACTCCCATTCCCAAGGAGAGGTTTCTTCTTGCCTTGCTCTGGGCATAAGAGGTGTGGGGTCAAGAGATGAAGGCCCTCCCAGATCATACCAGGCCCTTTCTGAGAACATAGAGCACCAACCACAAAGGAATCAAGAGAGGCTTCCCAGAAGAGACAGGCTATGACAGGGTGCTGCAGTGCAGACCGCAAGCCCTGGGGCCATCTCCTCCTCTGGCCCCAGCGCTGGGCTCAGAGCCCCAGGGCTGACGTACTAGCTGCTCCCCAGTTCCTGGAGACCTGTGGATCCAGGGTTACTAGGGGCATGCTCCAGGCCCCGCCACCCACCTCCTCTCACCTGGGCCTTGCAAATCACCCCCATGTAAAGAAGCCAGCTCATCAGATCTGGGCTGGGAGAAGCGGGTGGTGGGCACACTGCCGAGTGGCTGCCTGCCGAGGCCAGAGACTGGGGCGCAAG